GCAGACTCGCGCAAGCTTCTCCTCGGCGTGCGTGGTAACGCAACGGCAAAATAATAATTGTCCCGACCTTACCCAGCGTGCTGAGAAGGGATACCCTCCCCCTTAGTTGCTACCATGAGTGCGATCTTTCATTTAATGAAGGAAGACCGCTTGGACATCCATGGAAACCTGTGGAACCTAACCTGGGGCCAAATCAGTTGTCGATCTCATGCAGTGGAGCCATCGAAACATCTCCGCCCTCCCTCAATAGTTGTTTTGCGAGGTCATGTCTGCCCAAGCATTTTTATAGTCTCGGGCTTCGGATCACTTTTCACACATCCTCAACAGATGACTCATCAGCCAGCCAACTGACACGGGAGTGGGGAACGTCTTCCAAATGTTTGAGGATGGCAGATCCTCACAAGTTGTCAGCCCGGTTGATACCATGGAACAAATGCATTCCAAAAGTTACGAGCGCACTATTTTTCTCAAGGGACCAAAAACAGTGCGCACGCAGGGCATGAATCAATCTCGCCCAAACGTACAACAGCACGAAAGCCTTTCAGGCTCACTGCTTGTAACATTGATTATATTGGTAAAAAGACAAAAAATAGTTTTTCTGTATCGACACAAGCACTGCTTTCCCCCCATGTTCCGTTTGAAATTGATGAAAGCTACCATACTGCCTCTACTTGATTACTGTGACATCATATATAAATCAGCCCCCAGTACTATACTGAAGAAGCTTGACTCAATTTATCACTCGCCCTTAAGATTTGCATGGAACTGCCCATATAGGACCCACCACTGCGATCTCTACATTGAGACAAACTTAACATATCTTAATAATCGACGACTTATGCATCAGATCTTATTTATTCACGATGTGCTTACAAAAATATCAGCAGACTACCTGCTGGATCTCCTCACTGTTTTTAAGAACAAATGTGACCTAAGGTCTTCGCTCATTTACCAACTTCACATTTCTTATTGGCGTACACATACTGGAGGAAGGTCCTTTGCTGTTGATGCCCCCAGGATCTGGCATGCTATTGCCAATAAACTGCAACTTGGATCACTACCTGTGAGATCTTCACTCAAAACTGCTCTAGAGGAGCTGTACACCCCTAGCTGTCACTGCTATTCAGTGACCTGAAATCAAATGTATCGCTCCGGATGACCGCTGCAAAGTATGATCTTGTATTTTGATTATAGTGTGCTGACCTTTAAAGGTGCATTGAAAATGTTTGATATTCATACTGATGCTCCTGCTGTTATAGAGTGACTCATGCTGCCAGCTATGGCTGCAAAGTTTGGTCGTACATGTTATGTATATCATTTATTGTTTAATTTGAATCACAGTTCCTATGATCACTGTTACATTGTTTTTATATTTTTAGTTTGGTGATTTCGAAAACGTATTGGTTTAGCCATATTTGTTTGTTGTAGTACAGATTTAGACTGATAAATTTAATTTAAATTGTCTTATGGTTGTTATTGTTTGACTTGCATCCTACTGGGATTTTTGCACACAGCGTTGGTGTATGGTGCTTTTTCTAGAAGATTTTGCTGTTTTTTTCTGTTGTTTTCTGATGCGCGTAGTCATTTTAAGATGTTCCTTGTTCATGTTTTAGTTTGTTGCGGTTGCACCCGAGTCAAGAGCTGCATGGCTCACAGGGCTATACCTAATAGATGAAACTCAAACTGAACAACGAAAACCGCTATTCACTAAGTGCCGGTGACGTGACCATGGCGCTTGTACCAGGCCAAGTTCACCTTAAGGCCACGTAAAGTGTCAAACGCCCGCTGGCAGGAGGTCACACGACAGACCCATGTGCCATGGGTCGAATGACTGAGATAACTGGCCGATGCACCACCTGTTGCCCCCTAATGTGCCAACTTTCTATGTTTTAGCCACTCCGGCGCTCCGCTCGTTGTTGTGAGCGTCACTCCACTGCCCTCCGTTGTTACTGGAGGGCGACTGCCTCCAACTGCCCAGTAGCAGCAGCGTCCTTCACGAGCCGCCTCCACATGAGGCTCGTGAAGGACGCTACTGCTTGTAAACACGCCAAATAAAATTATCCCCCCTACAGCCTTAACAGACTGTTGGGGAAAGTGCTGTTAGCGAGCACCTATGTAAACACACCACACACACACGCAAAACCACTCGCCTCCCACTCAGAGGCGACAGGGCAGTTGTTCGCACTTTGTCGGACAATCACGGCGCGATGTTGCATCAGATTCGGCTCGAGCGGAAGGTTTGCTTTTGAGATTTATGGCATTCTCGGAGTGTAACCGGGATCCGAGCGGGCTGTTGTTGCTGTGCCCGTCGCAATCAACAGCGGGGTAACAGCCCTGGAAGTCGATGCCACAAGACGCGCGTGGGTAAGCAAGCCCGACCGCTGCCGATGAGGCGCTGCGTGTCGGAACGGGTCCCAGAGTGTTGCTTGCACGGAATACATTCCTGCTGGGTGTATTCACACCCATTCTCTTTGATTCTTTCGGTAAAGTCACGTAGGTGAAAATGTTACATTAAAATAAAAAATTGAAATATTTTTTTTTCTACCTATGTGACTTTACCAAAAGAACCATAGAGTATGGATCCTTGCAGTCACGAAAACTTAAAATCTGTATTCACACCCGTTGGTCCGTGGGGCAAATGCGTTGTGTAAAGAGCACTTGTAATTCGGGGGGGGGGGGTTCTATGTGGAGAGACGGATACATGGAGGGGGACGTATCGTCTGCCTTCCTAGTTTGTCACTTGGGTGCCAAGTCCCTGCAATGGCTCCCCCACGGCTCTCCACGGCACCGAGAACTTCACAATCCGCCAAGCGGCTTCAGCGCGTGCCAGTCATCTCGCACTCTTTTCAAGCGAAACCTTCAAAGTTGAATCAAATAAAAAAACACACGCATGATGGAATTTAATGAATAATTGGTGAACACTCAGAGGCCAATCAACTTACTTCACTTGGGAAAGCACTTCATTTATCCGCCGGTCACGAGCGATCGCGTGATTTGGACACAGGATGTTGTCGGTGGTGATTACTCAGCGGCTCGGAGAAGGAGACAGACAGCCGCACCCAAATGCAGGGCTAAAAACTATCATTTGCTGCCTAAGTGGCTCTTGACACGACCATAATCAAATCCCTCGGAACCCTCCGGGCCACCTTGAGTAGTGCATCACTCACACGGCTGGGCTCCTTGGAGGTCACGTAGCCCTACCTCCTCCTGCCGCCGCCGCCGCTGCTCGGCGTGAAATAGCGGCAGCTGAAATGGAGAGGCCTTTCGAGAAGATCTTTTGTTCGTAGAACTCTTAAAATAAAATGACAGTGTCGTGAATCAATGCTCTTGCTCCGGAGAGGCGTCGCCCTTCCCGCGGGCACGCGAGTTCACACCAGGCGAGCGCTTGGCAGCAACGTGACTGACACAGATTTTTACGGGTTCTGGAAAAAACTGATTTGTTTAAAGCATGAAAGACTTCATAAGCGCTCGCGTATCGGGGATCGCTGCTCACCGATCATCTGCGTGGGTGAGATACACAAAAAAAGATCCAACCGCACACATATCGCCTGGGAGCAAAGCAGCAATGAACCTCCTTGGAACTCGTCAATTCTCGGAGGCCAATCGGGTTCAAAGACAATGTACACATTATGTTTATTCGCACGTTTTGCCACAAGTACGCGTGGTTAATGCAGGCTCGATGCCTTGCGAAAGGTGTCTATTTGGTATTTGAACATCTTAGCACGCCTCGTGTTTTATTGCCAGAAAGGGTGAAACCTATTCCTATTGTATCATAACTTTGATACTGGCAAAAAGGTCCCGTAGATGATAACTCCCGTTCCGTGATCAGGTGGTGAGCAGTGGCTCATCTTGAGAATGCCAAATGGAAACGCAGTTGTCTTTCCTTCCGTAAAGTGACGTTGAATGGAAGTGGGTGCTCGAATAGCACTCGGAAAGTTTCGAATTAAAAGTTTAGGGGTCGTTAATCAACTCAGTCCACCGTCTCTCTCTCTGTCGAGTTCATGCAATGCAACCTCCGAAATAAGTTAAACATGCAATGAGCACCACTTTGTGGGAAGGCAACTTTAAACCACCATGCATCATAATTTCGGCCACTGCCTGATGATGCTGGTTGATGTAATTACCAAAGACACGTCCGCACCCAATTGTTCACCGCGTGTGGATCGCTGTCCAACAAGAGCACTGGCGGTGGTGCCGCTGTAGCAATGACAAATTGTCACGAGATGTTAACTACCTCACCTGGTATGCAGGTGGTCGTGGGTTCCATCCAGACCCTGACGTCCACTGTATATTTGGAGTTTGCGTGTCTCTCTCTCCCCCCATAGTCGCGTGGATTTTTTCTCCGGGTCCTCCGGTTTGTCCCTCCACATTTAGTATCAACGTCACACGTTTAGAGTATTTGACTGTTGCTATACATTTCCACTCGCTAAGCCACTTTGTTGAGGCATCATTTGTGAGAGCCAGGTCGCTTCTGAAAAGGCCATACAGTACATAGCTCAGTGGGACCTTACCTGGTAAAATATTACAAAAAATATAAAGATTTTCGTTGTTTTAATTTGCTATACCGGGTGGACGAGGATGTGTGACATGCATTGCCATATTGTTCACGCAATTACATTCTAACTGACGCAATAAAGTTATCAATCTCTCACTTCACTTGGACTTTCGCAACAGCCAGGTCTGCAACACCTCCGATTATATTTTTTCAAGGTTGGCTACGTACGGTGCGAGATAAGTGCAACATACATACATACACGTGTAATGACAGGGTGCCATCTGTTGACCAGGAGGGACGATCATGAGTATGGGCGCCTTATATAAGAACCAACTAGAAGAGGGGCGTGTCTGGGTTAAAGATAAAAGGCGGGGTCAGTCAGGAAGCTCTGGGAACTTGCTCGAAGGTTCTAGAAGGAGGCGTGGCCGGAGGCGGGGCCGGATGCGGGGCATGGCTACGCCGGGAAGTATATAAGGGGACGTGACCGAAGGTTCGGGGCTGTCGTGGGGTCCCAGCTCTTGGCTGCCGTCGCTGTCTTCGCCGTCATCTCTCTCTTCATCGTCCGGCCGCATGGCCGATCCTCTGCACGGCTCCCATCATCGTCGTCGCAATGTTAGTCAGCCAGCTATATAGTTAGACCCCGACGATGAGGCTGCGTAGATGGGTCCGCTATGCGTAGCCGTGTGTATATATATATCACCCAGTGATTGTGCTTGAAGTGTGAGAAATAAATAAGAAGCCCTCTTCACGTTGTCTCGGTAGTCGCTCACTACACATGCATACACAGAATAATACTTGCAGCCCTGTAAGCTCTGGTCTGGAAATACTGGTGCCCGCCCTAAAAACGTGGAATTTCCAGTGCTCGGCAAGGGTGTCCCGTGGAGATAAGGGCCGTCCTATTGCTCTTGATTTTTTACTTTTGATCAGTATAACTTTCCCCTAATATCTGGCAGTGCCCCTTGAGACTACGGTGTATTAAGAGAGCAGTTTGCCCCGTGCCAATCATCTGTCGGGCATACAAACGGTAACCTTAAATAATCTGTACCGGGCTGAACCAAGCTAAAATATGGTTCTATATTTATAACGATGCCGTATGAATGTTTTCAGGCTAAATGGCCACGTGATATTGTATCTTGCGATATCATTGTTGCAATTGATGTATTGACACACGTTAATTTCCACGTGCTCTACTTGTACAGTATTACTCAGATGTTTTTATACTTTTCGCGTTATCATGTTTTGGAGATGAGTGGCGGTGCAGTATTTGCCACGAACCCGATCACCTGAGTTCGATTCCAAGCCACGGCCGACATCGGCCAGAATGGTGAAGTATGGTCAAATAACCCCCTCCCCCCCCCCCCATGGCCAACATGGCATTAGAGGACTTCTTCCAGCGGTGGATTAACAACGTGGCTGACACGTTTAATGACGTGTCAGTCAATCTAGAATTCACGTTTAGTGACGTGTCAGTCAATCTAGAATTCACGTTTAATGACGTGTCAGTCAATCTAGAATACACGTTTAATGAAGGCTGTTTTATAATGCGCACATTTGTTATATGTCGCTCGCAGTATCAGCCACGGGTGCTCAAACCGCGTCCATCGTCTCAGTCGGACCACCGACGACTGGACACACACAAGTATCTTAACGGTAAATTTCACGTCTCTTAAATACAATAATCCCTGCGCTGTCTCTGGACGGACACTCAGACCGACTCTCGCAGTTGCTTGGCGCGGAGATGTCTTCACGCGTGCGTGTGTGTAAGAGGGAGCGTGGCTTTTACGTGTGTTTATGTGGGTCTATTTATGCATCTGTCTGTTGTGTGCCATCCTTAATAATAATGTCGTGCCATCCTTAAGAGGTGCTCGCTAACAGCACGTGCCTCAAGAGTCTTTTAAAGTACTATATGGAGGGGATCTTTGTCTATTTATGACAGTGCGTGTCTGTGTGGGGGAGATTGTATGCGATTGTGCATGCGCGTGTGCGTGCGTGAGCATAGCGCAGTGGTTATCGCTACGCTGCACTACGAACCCGTCGACCCGAGTGCGATTCCCGCTCACGGCCAACACCGGTGACAATTATCTAAACCGGTCCTGGGTCTCCCCTAGGTCGACTCAGCCTCGAATGAGTACCCTTTGTGATGTGTAAACATCGCCACTGGGGAGACAAAGACGGTCGGCCATGGTGTTGGCCACCCACCGCCTCGTACGCCGTGTCTGCCTTCATAGGCGCCACTCGCTAACAGCACTTGCCCCAAAAGTCTGTGAAGGCTATATGGGGGATTTTTGTTTGTGTGTGTGTGTGTGTATGTGAGCGCGCATGTGTGCGTGGACATGAGTAATGGCGCTCTCCCCCTAAGATATCTCGGCATGTACGCGATTTCTCTCGCGTAAATCCCATACGGAATCAGGGTCAGGGCAAGCAGCTCACGCAAGTTCGAATGTTGTCTGAGCTGTCCTGTACTCGGGCCCCTGGGTTTAAACGAGGGGTAACTGTGTGAACCGGTAACCGATTGTACAATCAATTACTGTTTCCAAAAGTCAGAAACCGGTAACCGTTTCCCGTGGAACGTTAGGAATGAATGCATCAATTGGGCGCCGTGGTGGCTAGGAGATGTTTACTACCTCGTCTGGTATACAGAAGATCGTGGGTTCGATTTCTCTCCCCGTGGTCGCGTGGATTCTTCCTCCAATTTTTCCGACCGCATTTAGAATCAACGTGCGTTTAGAGTATTCGGCTGCTATACACGTCCACGTGATGAAAAGTCCACTTCTGTCGGGCTATCATTTGTGAATCAAGAGCCGAATGGCTCACAGGGTTATTCCAAATAAATGAAAACTAAATATGAAAAAAACTGCCAGGTCGCTTCTGAACCAAAAAAAGCTACGTAGCTCAGTGGGGCCCAACTTGTTAAAATAAAATAAAAACCAGTTTGATTAGTAGAGAGTTTAATTGGCACGCATGGACCGCTGCTCAACGCCAACTGGCGGCAGAGGAGGGCGGCTCCCAGTCGCTGGGTGTACCCACGCTTCACCCCACCGCGCGCAACCTGCCGATCGCCTGACTGCGGTGACCCCAGTTTGTTTGTTTGATTGACTCTGCAGGCTCGACAGAGGCAGTGGGGGGAAGTCGGTTTCAAGGAACCTGCCCCTGGGAGTTCAGCTGCCGCGCCGGGAGATGGAATCGCACCGCTGCCTCTGGACTGGAAGCCCACAGAGGCCTCTCCATCACCCAACAGTGGCAGCTCCTTTCTTGTCTCGGTTTTAAAAAAAAGATTAACACGTTGTGTGTTTATTTGCTCGAAACGTTTCTATCTGTGCTGCAAACTGGTATTAACCGGTTTTGCCGGGAGTGTTTTCCCCTTCATTTAGTTCCCAATAATGCGTCCAAAAAAACCCAACGATGTGAACAACACGAGTTCGAAGCCAGGATATCAGCGGCGCGAGGCCTTTGTTCTGGGGTGTAGATGAGCGAAGGGCTCATTCACTGAGCGCCACTGCCGCTCACCCACCCAAGTGACTGTGGCGGGCAGGGCTCTATATTAATAGAGACCCCCTTAGCGGGGTCGTCTCAGGACAGCCGCTTCTCGGCAAACTCCCCGCGTGAGACCCCCACCCAGAAGGCGACGGGCAAAACCCGGCCGCTAAAAAATAAAATGACTAAACGGCTGACTCGACGCAACCACCAAAACCTCAAGGCTGCCCATAACCACGTCACCCCCGCCCCCCGTGTCCACCCACCACCACCACCCACGGGTGTGTGTGTGTGTGTCGATGTGTTAATTGCGAGGAACGGTGGTGCCATCGGCGAGCGAGCTGCGCTACGAACTCGGCGTCTTGAGTTCGATTCCCGTTCACGGTCGTCACTGGCGACGATCATCTGAACCGGTCCTGGGCCTCCCCTAGGTCGACGCAGCCTCAAATGAGTAAATATTGCCACTAGGGAGACAAAGCCGGTCGGACGTGGTGATGGCCACCCACCACCCCTTGTATGCCCCAAAAGTCTGTTCGTGTTACACGGGGATCTTGTCTTTGTCAGTGTATTAGGAACTCCCAGCCAAGGCGAACTTTGGTGGTGATTATCTCAACTAGTCCTGGTCCTTTCTCCTAGGCAAACGCAGCCTTCAAAAGAGTACAGCAGCTGTCCAAAACATCAGCACGGGGGGAGCAGCAAGGACGGCCACACGCGGCGTGAGCCACGCCTCGTGCCCCGTGCCGACCTTGATAGGTGCTCGCACGCGGCACTTTGACCGGCAGCAGCTTGTGACGGCGAGGCGGGGTGGTGACCGGGATGGGTGGGGCTCTCTCTGTAATTATTGCTGCTGAATTTGAATGATCTCAATGCGCGCATTCATTGAGTCACGTTGCCGGTGAGCAGTGGACATCCTCAACACGCCTGAGTTCGGCGCTTGAGCCTTTGCCTTTTTGTAAAATGTAATCCTGAGAACACAACGTTGGCTTCAGTTTGGATATCCGGAGCCGTGGATATTTGATACCTGGATGTTTCGGCAGAACGAGCAAAGAACTCCGCGTGTGTAGCGATCGATTAATCGATCGCTACACACGCGCAGTTCGATCGATCGCTACACACGCGGACGGGCACAGCCGCGAGACGCGCGCAGGTCGGCAGGGATTCGTTACGCTCACAGGACGTGATGTTGGTGTTCAGTTTGTTGTCCTTCACCCCACACCTCCGATTAGCACGATTGGCTCCGTACATTGCGAAATAAGTTCATCATACGTACATAAACTCAAACAGAAACCCGTAGACTCACACAGATCCCCATAGACTCACACATAAACCCATAGACTCACACAGAGACCCATAGACTCGCACAGAGACCCATAGACTCACACAGAGACCCATAGACTCACACAGAGACCCATAGACTCACACAGAGACCCATAGACTCACACAGAGACCCATAGACTCACACAGAGACCCATAGATTCACACAGAGGCCCATAGACTCACACAGAGACCCATAGACTCACACAGAGACCCATAGACTCACACAGGGGCCCATAGACTCACACAGAAACCCATAGACTCACACAGAGGCCCATAGACTCACACAGAGGCCCATAGACTCACACAGAGACCCATAGACTCACAGAGGCCCATAGACTCACACAGAAACCCATAGACTCACAGAGAGACCCATAGACTCACACAGAGACCCATAGACTCACACAGAGGTCCATAGACTCACACAGAACCCCATAGACTCACAGAGGCCCATAGACTCACACAGAAACCCATAGACTCACAGAGAGACCCATAGACTCACACAGAGACCCATAGACTCACACAGAGACCAATAGACTCACACAGAGGCCCATAGACTCACACAGAGACCCATAGACTCACACAGAGACCCATAGACTCACACAGAGGCCCATAGACACACAGAAACCCATAGACTCACAGAGAGACCCATAGACTCACACAGATCCCTATAGACTCACACAGAAACCCACAGACTCACACAGATCCCCATAGACTCACACAGAAGCCCATAGACTCACAGAGAGACCCATAGTTTCTTGTCTTTACCCCGCACTGCCGATTAGCACGATTTGCTACGCACGGTGCTAAATAAGTTCAACATACGTACATACACAGCACGGCATCGTGCGCGTAAGAATTAATTATTGGCAATGAAGATGACGGGCGTCTGATTGGTTCGTGAAAACCCCTGGGCTCTTGCAGAACCCACGTGACTCCGACAAAGCGAGGAGGTGGTGAATCATCGCGACAAGATGACACACTTGGCGCAGCCTACCGTTGTTGCCTTACAACAAGGACGCGAATGTGAGGGGAGCCTCGATATTTGCTTAGCGATTGTAAAGCTCCCCCTCTGTAAAGGGGCCGTCCATAAATGACGTCACGCGATTTTGGACGATTTTTAACCCCTCCATTCATCACGCTGCGTCACAAAAAGTCAGATCCCCCCTCAAATATGACGTTAGAAAGCTGTGACCCCCCAAAATAAAACATGCTTCAAATCGCTTTAAACGATTGTCATTGTAGTGCGTTTTTAATGTGCCGCTGCACTCTGATGTTGTAGGAGAAAACATTTATTAAAAAGTCTATTTAATTAAGTAGAACGTGTTGTCCATATTTATTTAAAGTTGCGCATTTTGATGGGACGTCACATTTCTCAACCCCCCCTCTAGGTGCGTGACGTCATTTATGGATGGCCCCAAAGCCCAGCGATCAAGTTGTGACCCACACGCGCGCTGTTCGCAGTGCTGCGCATTCGCATCGCACGGCAGCTTTCAATGAAGCAACCCCGCTGTAAAAGTATAAATATTTAATGACATCGTCGACGACCATTGCACAAAATCCAGGGGTTGGTGAGCTATGGGGGGGGTGGCAATTAGCAGCGATACGTTTGGGAGTGTTTGTAATATTCGTGAAAACATGTAAAAGTAATTTTTTTTTTGCTGAGCGATGAGCCGGACGTGACCTTTGCTTGGCGTTGCAGCGAGTAGCCTGGCAATTGCCTGCAAAAAAACAAACAAAAATGTTGCCGCGATTAACCAGAATTATAGTTCATAAGGCCCACGGCGCCTCGATCTTCAACACTCGGAGCAGTCCATAGCTGGGGCATGGCTTGCCTCTGAGCCCTTGATGGATGTAACTCGTCATTGTTTCCCATGCTAAGTACGACCCAGAACAACTCAAAGCCTTTTGGTTGAAAGGCTTTGAACAACTGGTTTGTTATTATTATTAATGTAGCAATTTTACACCGAAATAATGCGACGTGATATAAATTGTAGCAGCTTCGACACGATTGCGAGTAGGGGCAACTCCACGATTTGGAATGTACACTTCAGGCACTGCAAAGTCTCGGGCAATGATGAGAGTGGTCGCCAAGTGAACTTGGGCGTTATGTCAGCCAATGAAGACTGCGATTGAAGATTAAAATGTTCTCCACCATTCCGTGCGCACTCAGACACCATCATCCGCCCCGGTTGATGGTGAAGGGGGAATTGCGTGCATGGGCATCACCAGAGACGAGGTGGATGACATCACCAGAGACGGGGTAGATGACATCACCAGAGACGAGGTGGATGACATCACCAGAGACGAGGTGGATGACATCACCAGAGACAAAGTGGATGACGTCACCAGACACGAGGTGGATGACATCACCAGACACGAGGTGGATGACATCACCAGAGACGAGGTGGATGACATCACCAGAGACGAGGTGGATGACATCACCAGACACGAGGTGGATGACATCACCAGACACGAGGTGGATGACATCACCAGAGACGAGGTGGATGACATCACCAGACACGAGGTGGATGACATCACCAGAGACGAGGTGGATAACATCACCAGACACGAGGTGGATGACATCACCAGAGACGAGGTGGATGACATCACCAGAGACGGGGTGGATGACATCACCAGACACGAGGTGGATGACATCACCAGAGACGAGGTGGATGACATCACCAGACACGAGGTGGATAACATCACCAGAGACGAGGTGGATGACATCACCAGACACGAGGTGGATGACATCACCAGACACGAGGTGGATGACATGACATCACCAGAGACGAGGTGGATGACATCACCAGACACGAGGTGGATGACATCACCAGAGACGAGGTGGATGACATCACCAGACACGAGGTGGATGACATCACCAGAGACGAGGTGGATAACATCACCAGACACGAGGTGGATGACATCACCAGAGACGAGGTGGATGACATCACCAGAGACGGGGTGGATGACATCACCAGACACGAGGTGGATGACATCACCAGAGACGAGGTGGATGACATCACCAGACACGAGGTGGATGACATCACCAGAGACGAGGTGGATGACATCACCAGACACGAGGTGGATGACATCACCAGACACGAGATGGATGACATCACCAGAGACAAAGTGGATGACATCACCAGAGACGAGGTGGATGACATCACCAGAGACGAAGTGGATGACATCACCAGAGACAAAGTGGATGACATCACCAGAGACAAAGTGGATGACATTACCAGAGACGAGGTGGATGACATCACCAGAGACGAAGTGGATGACATCACCAGAGACGGGTGGATGACATCACCAGAGACGAGGTGGATGACATCACCAGACACGAGGTGGATGACATTACCAGAGACGAAGTGGATGACATCACCAGAGACGAAGTGGATGACATCACCAGAGACGAAGTGGATGACATCACCAGAGACGAGGTGGATGACATCACCAGAGACGAAGTGGATGACATCACCAGAGACGAGGTGGATGACATCACCAGACACGAGGTGGATGACATCACCAGAGACGAAGTGGATGACATCACCAGAGACGAAGTGGATGACATCACCAGAGACGAGGTGGATGACATTACCAGAGACGAAGTGGATGACATCACCAGAGACGAAGTGGATGACATTACCAGAGACGAAGTGGATGACATCACCAGAGACGAGGTGGATGACATCACCAGAGACGAGGTGGATGACATCACCAGAGACGAAGTGGATGACATCACCAGAGACGAAGTGGATGACATTACCAGAGACGAGGTGGATGACATCACCAGAGACGAAGTGGATGACATCACCAGAGGAACGAAGTGGATGACATTACCAGAGACGAGGTGGATGACATCACCAGAGACGAAGTGGATGACATCACCAGAGACGAAGTGGATGACATCACCAGAGACGAGGTGGATGACATTACCAGAGACGAAGTGGATGACATCACCAGAGACGAAGTGGATGACATTACCAGAGACGAGGTGGATGACATCACCAGAGACGAGGTGGATGACATCACCAGAGACGAAGTGGATGACATCACCAGAGACGAGGTGGATGACATTACCAGAGACGAAGTGGATGACATCACCAGAGACGAAGTGGATGACATCACCAGAGACGGGGTGGATGACATCACCAGAGACGAGGTGGATGACATCACCAGAGACGAAGTGGATGACATCACCAGAGACGAAGTGGATGACATCACCAGACACGAGGTGGATGACATCACCAGAGACGAGGTGGATGACATCACCAGACACGAGGTGGATGACATCACCAGAGACGAGGTGGATGACATCACCAGAGACGAGGTGGATAACATCACCAGACACGAGGTGGATGACATCACCAGAGACGGGGTGGATGACATAACCAGACACGAGGTGGATGACATCACCAGACACGAGGTGGATGACATCACCAGAGACGAGGTGGATGACATCACCAGACACGAGGTGGATGACATCACCAGACACGAGGTGGATGACATCACCAGAGACGAGGTGGATGACATCACCAGACACGAGGTGGATGACATCACCAGAGACGAGGTGGATAACATCACCAGACACGAGGTGGATGACATCACCAGAGACGAGGTGGATGACATCACCAGAGACGGGGTGGATGACATCACCAGACACGAGGTGGATGACATCACCAGAGACGAGGTGGATGACATCACCAGACACGAGGTGGATGACATCACCAGAGACGAGGTGGATGACATCACCAGACACGAGGTGGATGACATCACCAGACACGAGATGGATGACATCACCAGAGACAAAGTGGATGACATCACCAGAGACGAGGTGGATGACATCACCAGAGACGAAGTGGATGACATCACCAGAGACAAAGTGGATGACATCACCAGAGACGGGGTGGATGACATCACCAGAGACGAGGTGGATGACATCACCAGACACGAGGTGGA